AGCAGTGTTTTCTACACAGCGCCATAGTTTATTGACAAGGCATGCCAAATACTTCATGCGATGTACAGGTAATCATGCGATATTTAAATTGCAGATAATCATTCTGTGGTTATGACAGTTGTAGTTGTTTGACATCGCTTCTCAGTGAACTATGGCCCTTTGTAGTAAACGCTGCTAACATTACTTTTCAAATCACACAGAAATACTGCTTTTGACAAGTTTTTACTCCAAACTCACAAACATATTTCATAGTATTGTAAGCAATGACAAAGAAATTGCATCTTTACATACTTTAAAGGGCATCTATGAATTCTATGAATCATCTTTTGTAAGCTGTTTGGACAGAACTGTGTGTAGGTATAATGTGTTTACAGTCATATTGGGGTGATATAAAGACAATTAGTCTCCTTTTCAAATTTCCTGACATTAAAATAGAATCTAAATCTCTCCCGTTTTGAGGTCCACCACACCGTGACGTAGAGTGTGGTTTCCCCGCCCACCGCATTGACTGACAACCGCGTATTAACATGTCTCTGTAGTAACACTTATAATTATATCAACAAAACAGGAAGTGCGCAAAGCAACTGGGATTAAAAGATCTGTTCAGCTCTCTGTGATCATCAGTCATCATCAAATGTGATCAAGAATGAGTTTTACAAGTTTAAAATGTTTTTTAAACAGTGCATGTTAATGAGTTGCAGTGATTTACTTCAGCTTTACTAATCACCACAGTCACGTGTCAGTACAATGATAAAAGACGACGCTTCAGTCCTGGTTTGTGGACGTTAAATTGGGTTTACTTTGTACATTAACATAATGGATGTCCATACAGAAGTGGATATTAACGTGTATCATGTCACATTTGCCGTGCAAAAACAGTGCAAAGTTAAATACACATCCTGTGTGTGTGTCTGTGTGTGTGAGAGCTTTGTAACAACATTGTGTGTGACTCATCGTAGCAGAAAGGTTTGAATTAACTCCACAACACACAACAAATAAGGATTGAGAAAGGTTTACTGTAGTATTTCTCACAAACGTTACACAAGATCTGCTTCCTTCATGTTTGTCACTATACTGTTTATCTGACGCAGCCGAGGCGGAGATTGATGCACACTCTGACAAGCACATGGGAACAGTGGGCAGCGAGCATTGAAGACACAGGCAACAAAACAGCTACATTGTGTTCAGAGCAGAAAATTCCAAATTTCTAAAAGGTATAACAAATAATCTGATGCGTGTTTTGAGCTGTAACTTTACAGACTTATTCTAGAAACACTAGAGCTGCATCCCAAATCGCATACTTATGCACTATTCTACGCCATTTTGTAGTATAAATAGTGTAAGTACTGTGTTTACACTGAAAACTCTAAAAATAATAAGTGCACTTTGATTACCTGGATGATGCACTCATTCAGCCGCTTAAATGAAGTGTTGAATGATGGACACTTCACGCACTCAACGACCGCAGGTTTGCTTACGTAGCGGAAGGGTCGGAGCTATCGGACGCACATGTTGACTAACTTTTTTTATTTTGGATGGTGAAAGCAAAATTCTCCTACGAGAGTGATTATAGCACCTTCCGATGGTGAATGTGGCAATTCTCAAGGCAGGTATTATTTGATAAGTCGGTTGTTTAAGTCGACGCAGCTAAAGGCTTCTCCTAAATCTTGAAAAAGGGGTAAAATATGTGCTCTTTAATATCAAGCAAATTATATTAACGCAGATAACCATACGCTGTTTTGTGTTTATTAATCATGAATTGAATCAATGAAAGCTGTTAAATTTTTTGTTTATTCACCAACCACTATAGACCATTTGAGGGATGTAAACAATAACAATGGTCCAAACCTACTTCCTGTTTTACATTTTTCATTTCCATATTCCGAGAATCCTGAAATGTCTACATATTGATGAATAATGTTAAAACAGTTTTAACGTTAGGATATAATTCAATTGCCTCCTGTTACAAGTATTAAAACAGTTTGACAACAAGCAGGAATAGCCAAGTCATGGGCCAGTGACATCACCACATTGAAATTTCCTGGAATTCTTCAGGGTGTATCTTGTTGTTCAGTGTCAGAGCACCCTCTGGCCTTCAAAGGAGATTTACTACTGATCACACATCCGTGCTTCCCTGAAAAGATGTGCATGACCATCACAGCTTTTGCTAAATCGCAAACTTGATGTTATTGTGCAGCCCTAATTGCAGTCACAAACATCACTTTTTACTCTCTGAAAATATAGCACTTTTGTCACAGTATCTGTTTTGACTTCTATATCATTATCACTTTATGCTGAGATTTTAAGAGGATACAAAAAAAACTAAGAAATGCATGTAATGTTACGTGTCAGATATACATTGCAATGAAACAGTGTAACAATTTCTCATCAGCCTTTTCAGACCAGTGCGCAATTTCAAAAGTCCATTAATTTAGAGCTTGGCAGCATATTCTCTACATAATTATCCTCAATGTCCTGTTCCTCAAATATTTCACCAGAGAGCAGATTTATCCCACCGAAAGAGAGAGCAAGCATTATCCAAAAGTTTTAATGGACTGAGCTGTCTGTCTTCAGGAAACAAACAGCAGAGAGATGGAAACTGTTAACACACCGAGAGGAAAAAAAAAAGCACAGAAGATGGTTTTCTTTCCTCAGAGGAAGCCATACTTACAGAATTTGTCTGATGGCTCAATGGTCTTTGAGTAAGGACTGTTCTCAGCCAACAAAAACAGTGTCAGAGAAAGTCCACCCAGCCATGAAATTGATTCTGTAATAACAAACAAGGGGAATCTGTTTCTCACCACTGTTAATCAAATCATTTCAGAGAAGATGAAAGTCGAATCATTAGCTTGCAGAGCTACATTCCATTCCATTTCAACCTGTTGTCCCATTAACCCTGAAAACTGCTCAATAGCTAATTAAGGCAATTACTCCGAGCATGACATGGCACTTAATCATGAGTGACAGAACCATCTATATTGGTGGCTTCATTATCATCGGCAGCTCTCGGTTGTAGCTGTACAAACAAGACTGTGAGCAGACGAAGGACTACGATTTGATCTAGCTTTAGGCCAAACGAGTGGTATAGATGAAATTTTGGAATGTATCTGAATCCGCATCCAATAAGACGTAAGCTAATTTTCTTGCCGCCTCTGTATAATCTGCACATAATCAATTTAAATTCTTTAACTGGGACATTAAGAGCTGTGTTTTTGTAAATAAGGCAGAAAAAAAGCATTTAAATGAAGTTGAAATATCCCTGTACATGGTTTTGGAGAATCTTCTGGTAATATCTGTGCCTGCTGTGGTCTGACACCTCTGTGGTCAGCACTTCCTCTAAGAGCACAGTGTGACAGACTCCACTCAGGGAGGCCCTGTTACAACCCATCCACAGCAAGAGTATTGATTTTTTCCCCCCTCTTTTTCATCAAGTCGTGCTCACCAGAACTTGAACTCAGTGTTGCCCTTCATACAACAGAACACAAAATATACCAGTGCTGCAATATCAGAGATAACCAGAAGTTCAGGTTTTGGGACTATGCTAATATCCACACTGTAAAACATGATGAGTTTTACTTAACACCTTTATGTTGTGCAAGCACAGATGTATTCAGTTAACCAAATCATTTTTACACATTTAACTGGCTTGAACATTAAACTATTGAGTTGTCCCAAAAGAAATCTCAAGAATTGTGGGTTTTTCTATTGAAATTGTTTTTCTTCACTTTGTCAACTGGTGAAGTTTTCTTCCTCGCCAGTGGTTTACTTGGCTGCCCATCGATGAATTTGCTCTTCAGTGTTTGGAGTGTCAGCAGTGAAAATTAAACCACAATGAACTGAACTAAACTTAACTGAACTTCAACTCTGAAAAACGGACTGACAGTTTCTATTTACTATAACTTATTTTAAGCTGCTTTGACACAATCTACATTGTAAAAGCTCTATAAAAAATAAACATGAATTTAATTGTTTTCAACTCATTTTAAATAAGTAGTTTAAAGAAGCAGCAAAAGTCATTTTTTCAGTGCATACTTCAGGGCTGCATGGGTGGACAATGTAAGTTTCTTGATTTTAAACTAACTTCACTGATTTTGATCAACTGTGTGGTCCTTTATGCTTTTTCATATTTTTAACCTCAGTTTGTGTGCAGTTTAGCTGTGTATGTATAAATATATGCAAATTTACGAGCTCAAAGTCAAGCTTAAATGTAGTTGTTCTCTTTAACATACATTTGTTTTCCATGACTACAGCAAATGACTGATTAAGACTATAACACTTTTTTTCTGGACATTGTAATTTAACAAAGTCAGAATTGGCTAGTCACCCATATGTGATGAATTTATGAGTGTTCATTTCAAATCCTATAAAGTTTTATTTCTTAAAACATCATTTGCACATCATTATTTGTGGAGAGTTACTTTATGTGATTTATTTGTCATGCTTCTATAAAACATAAATCCTTAGAGCCTAATTTATGTCCTCTGATTTTAAAGGTGCACTGTGGGACTTTTTAGAGGATGAACATTACAGTGAACTAAAAGAATTGTGCAACTGAGGCAGACATTAAATTGTATTATTCCCTGATCAGTGTCCTGTCCTGACTACTACATGAGGGAGATGATTGAGATGAGTCACTGAATCATTCATTCAAACTGAGTTTAAAAAAATGAATTGAAATTATGTGATAATATAATTTTTCAAATAGACTGCAGGACATTAAAATTCATCAGAACCTCTAAAAAACGATGTGTTAATTTGTTAAGCTGTCTATTCAGAATAAAGTGAGAATCATGAAATCTAACAAAAAATGTTAAATAAAAAAATGTGATCCTTAGTTCATCCAGAATCATGCAGCTATGAGTTCTACAGAAGTGTGCAGAACTGACATCATAACCTCTAAAAATTATCTTGAGACCTCTAGTCTATTATCATTCCACCAAGGGCTGCAAGATATTGGAATTTTTTTTCCAATTAAATAACATAAATTAATAAATAATTACTGACTTGCTCTATCCGTATACTCCCTTCGATCATTGAGATCTTATGATCTCAATTTACTCACCGTGTCTAGAACACGCCTTAAAAAACGAGGTGATCCAGCGTTTGCAGTTGCTGGTTCTAAACTCAGGAACACTTTGCATCTTGTTTACAATAGAGCGTGCTGATCCGTTCGAACCAAGTCTTTCTGATGAATTAATGAACAGATGTGCTGAAAACTCAATGATGTGACTTTGTACAGGCTGGTACAGGCAGCTAATCCCCACGCTGGAATTTACACAATGATCTCATCGCTGTGACATAGTTTCAAAGTTTCTTTTCAAATCGGAAGAGCAAATTTGCTCTACACACCACAAAAACAACCAATTTTCACTAGTTAGCTAAAGATATGTGTCCTAATAGTGTTTTAAGGAATGTGGGAAAATGTGTTTTGGTGTTTCGTGACCCTTTATGAATAACAAATGAGACAGAATTTTTATTTTTGGGTGAAATATCCCCATAATGACTATATAAAATCATATATAACAAATAATGTTATTTCTTCTTATTACTATTTTGATTTCTAATTGAAAAAGATGTATATTAAGTGATATACAAGCATATCTGACTAGCCATCTGTCATTTCTGAAGGCCTCAGTTCTGCTGAAGTGAGTGAGTGACAGTGGACAGGCACAATAAATATTTCCGACGATTCCTAGATGAGTTGCAATAACAGAGGGGATGAAAGCCCTGCTGGACAGCTTTAACTTTGATCTTTGTTCATTAGACTGGAGCGCCGGACAGGTTTATTGCTGTGATTGCAAGTGCTGTGCAGTAATTAAACACAGCAGTAGTGTTACCCTCCTCTGCATGTTGTTTGTCTTCTTTACATGAAGTGAAAAACCATTTATCAAAGTCATGTACAAACAAACGTCTGTCTACATTCATTTTGAGTTTCAAAGCCCACAGGAACCATGTTGCAGTGCCAGTGTTGATGAAAAAAGGAATCAGTAGGCAGAGGAACAGATTACATGGAGCGAAAACAAGCTCATTTTATTCAAGGTGTAGTTTATTTCCTCATGTTAAATGAAAAAAACATATAACTATATAGAGCAAGGCAAACTTTTTCATAATGGGCCAAAAACCAAATATCATTAAGAGCTGTGGGACGAAGGTAAATATACCAAACTGACATTGAATTTGTCATGGCTAGTTTTCAATTTTTTTATATTATTTCAAAATAAATAAAACATTATTTTTGAATCATATTAATTATTATTTTATTATTATTATTATTAGTAGTAGTAGTAGTATTCATTATTATTATTTTAATCTTATTAATATAGTATAACTTATTTGCATTAAAAAAACATTTACAATCACATTTATACCATAGTGCAGTTCAATGCCGAATACTCATTACTCACCAAAGTTCTTGCATTGTCGTGTGACATTATGTACTTTAAAAGAATTGAAAAATTAAAAAATTTCACCTAGTTTTTAACAAAAAACAGTTAGCAAATAAACAAACAAAGAGTTGCATTAAATTAGAATGGACAATCTTGAAACCATCCCCATCTTTTTCCCTCTATTCCCATGGTATGGTGGGCCAAATCAAATGTTACCGGGCCCTAGTTTGAGCATCTCTGATATAGAGAAACCGACTATCATATAAATATGCAAATATGTATCATATAAACTGTATTATCATGTATTTTCATTGTCATCAAAGTCTGTTTTTTTATTTTTACATAACCACTTTGCATCACCTCTCTAGAAGCACACATAACGTGTCCAAAGTTTTTTAGGTACACTCTAAAAAATGCTGGGTTATTTCTACCCAGTTGTTGGATTAATTGGCGAAGCAGTGGCGCAGTAGATAGTGCTGTTGCCTCACAGCAACAAGGTCGCTAGTTCGAGCCTCAGCTGGGTCAGTTGGCGTTTCTGTGTGGAGTTTGCATGTTCGCCCTGCATCCGCATGGGTTTCCTCCGGATGCTCCGGTTTTCCCCACAGTCCAAAGACATGCGGTACAGGTGAATTGGGCTAAATTGTCCGTAGTGTGTGAGTGTGAATGAGCGAGTATGGATGTTTCCCACTGCGTAAAACATGTGCTGGATAAGTTGGCGGTTCATTCTGCTGTGGCGACCCCGGAATAATAAAGGGACTAAGCTGAAAATGACTGAATGCAAGGTACATTTTTTAAATTAATTGACAAGGACCAAATTTAACATAATGTTTGGGTTATTCCATATTTTACCCAATTTGGGTTTAAATAACCCAGCATTTCTTAGAGTGTAGCAATGAATTAAAGAAAAAAGACCACTCATTTTACTTATTATTTTTTCTGTCTCAGGTGTTTTTGAAGCTGCTTGAGTTATATTAGATTAGATTCAACATTATGGTCATTACACATGTACAAGTGCAAGACAACAAAATGCTGTTTAGGTCTGAGTGCAATAGCAGCAAGTGCGGCATATAGATATAAGTTATGTGTATTATAGAAAAACTATGGTGATATTTACAGATGGATGTACTATGAACATTTTATACAGGCTATGTTAACTATGATCAGAGATTTACAATAGATGAATATATGTACAGGTTGCTATTAATAATCAAAAGTGTGCAGATAGACATGAACGTAATTACAAATGTATATGTGCTGTGGATTCAAGATGAATTACTGCAACAAAGTACTTTTCTCTTTTGAGCATGAAATAAATTATTTTGAAAAAACATTAGGAACCTGTAACCATTGACTTCCATAGTAGGAAAAACAAATAGTATAATTGGAGGGCAACGGTTACATGTTTTCAGCATTTTTCTAAATAACTTCTTTTGCAACTATCCCTTTAAGTGTTGTGAATTTATCTCATTAATGACATTCAGTGCTGCAATGTGGCAAAACACAAATACAAAACCATCTATGGTATACTGATCAGTCATCAACAATTAACAAGTAGACTCTTATGCTCATCGAGGCTGATCAAAAATGAAAATATTGTCAAATATTTTTTGAATTTAAAATAAATATCAGGGAGATACTTTTAAATTAATACTTTTTTTTACTTTTTTCCTGTCAAGGTAAAGCTCAAGTTTCAGCATCTTTACTACAGCCTAGAACAGGGGTCACCAACATGGTGCTTACGAGCACCAGATCACCCGCAAGGATCACATGTTCTATTTACCAATAAGCTAGATCTAATATTTTTTTGTAGCTATTATTTTTAAATCACACTTGCATTGGTTTAAATTTGAAAATGAACTTCAGTTACCCCCAAAAATCATGGCAGAAAAAAAAAAGAAAACATATGCTTAAAATAATTGCTTTGTACATACTGCTTTATATTTTTATCAATAAATAAACATCCTTTATAACGGCGGTTCATTCCGCTGTGGCGACCCCGGATTAATAAAGGAACTAATTCGACAAGAAAATGAATGAATGAATGAATATAACATAAATCTGTCTTAGCTCTCATTTTCTATAAAATGTCATTTGTCCTTATTGAAGGAGGAAAAAAACTGCATGAATTTTTAAAAATTGATAATTGGTTAGTTCATGACATCACAAAGATTTTTGTACTAGAGAAGAAATCTCCATATTAAGTTAGTTATTATACATAACAATGCACTATTATACAAAACAAGTTCTAATATTTAGACAATATGACTTTTAGTTTGATTATGAAACTGAAGCACTGTTTAGTCCTTGTAAAGAAATCAGCCTGATTTTGACGACTTCATCAATGTTGGAAACTTTAAGCTAGCCATATAGAGCAGTCTTTAATGAATAGCTGCTTGAATTTCCAGTATTTAAGTCTGGCAACAAATCCATTCACGTCTGCAGAGCTAAAGAATTAATTCATCACACAATTAAAGCTAAACACATTTTGCATGACTGACCACACTGCTGGAAGGTGGCTTTTAACCGCTGTTTCCAACATAAAGCCGACTTTCCCCACTGAGACACACACACATAAAACACCTTCTTATCAGACTACACTTTCCTTTGTGATGATTACATAAACACAACACTGTTTGTTCCATAATAAAGATAAAAGCTGCATTGCTCCTCTGCAATGTTATATACAGTCTGGTGTTCAATTCATCAGTAGTCTCACTCCCTGATGTGGAAACCACACTATTCTAGCATCTATACTTCCATAACTAGCCATACCTTCAAACAGACACCAAAACACAATTTCATTATTATTGGGTTTTGAGTCAGTTACTTCAAACTTTGTCCGTATAGTTTCAAACGGAAAAAACTGTTTATACTGTATTTGCAAACATTATTTTTGCAGCTAATTCAGTCAGGTTTCTATATGCACTAGGAGTCTGACAACAGCCAGCGCACCATACAGTGATTTGATCTCACCATCATTCAGTCTGCCTGAAAGACATGAAGACACAGAACAAACTAAGACAAGCTAAATCCAGCAGATCTGTGGCAGCATCTTGAAGACAGCTACCTGCAAAGCTAGCTGAAAAACGATGTGCAAGCTAGGAAATAGCAATTTTAAACACAAAAGGTGATTAGAAAAAATGTGACTCTCGACCACAAAACTAGTTATAAGTGTATTGTAATGTACATCACCTGAAAGCTCTTTAAATAAGCATTCACAAAACTTATTTAGGATAAAATAATATTTGGCCAAGATACAGTATATCTATTTGAAAATCTGGAATGAGAGGATTCAACAAAAAAATAAAAAATAAAAATGAACTGAAAAATTTTCAAATTTTGATGAGTTGTTTGAGCACTGCACAAACTATTCCAAAGGTTTTAATATATTCACAGTAGAAAATTTGCAATATCATTAAATAAAAAATAATCTATGGGTTACACGATAAAGTAAAATATCTGATATTGTGATATAAAATTTTTTGGTGATATATATTGCAACATGAATACAGTTTAACCAGATGGTTTAAGTCTTGGCATGGGCCGATATAAGATTGTGACGGTATATGATAACCTTGGATAAAAATATTACAGTTTCACGGTTTTTATAATATTGTGATTACTGCTCTAAAATATGTTCTTTTTAAATGTCAGGGTAAAAAACATAAAAAAAATCCCCTTTGAGCACATATTTTATTTTGAGAAACATTACAAATATTTTGGAGCAGTAAACATGTCAGGCTAAATAGTTCAAATGAATCAATGACTTCTGCTGTTTTTATTAGTGTCTAAAACAGATTTCATTACAATTCAAAAAATTGCATCTTTAAATATATTTTCTGCTGGAGATACAGTTGTCCTAAAAAAACATTAAAAAAAAACATAAAAAACAACTTGCATATATTGTAGGCACGGTATAGCAGAAAACTTTGACTTTTCCAAACCACAGTATACCTTGAAGACAGTTATAGTCCCATGCCTATTTAAGTCATACAGTATTCAGGTACAGAAATTAAATAATCACAATGCAAATAATGCTTTTATTGCTTAAAGCTTTTTCTTGTTTCTATTCCAAATATCAAAAATGTTTAACCTAGCAAGATGTTATTTTGTTATCACTTTCTGAAGCAATGGGTCAAAATTAAGTGAGTTTTCCCTTAAAACAAGCAATTCAGCTAAGTAAAATAAGCTTATCTTCAGTTTGAAATGTAGATATTGGACTAGAAACAAGACAAAAATTCTATGTTGAAAAATGTTAAACAAAACTGTATAGTCACCTCTGGGTGCTCCGGTTTTCCCCACAGTCCAAAGACATGCGGTATAGGTAAATTGAATAAGCTAAATTGGCCGTAGTGTACTCTATGTGTGTGAATGCAAGAATGTATAGGTGTTTCCCAGGTTGCGGCTAGAAGGGCATCTGCTGCTTAATAACATGTTCTGAATCTGGCTGGCGGATCATTCCACCATGGCAACCCCTGATTAAAGGTTCACAAAACACTCAAGTACTTTTTTGAGGATTTTAACAGATTTGTGTGTGTTGAGCAACAGTTAAGACAATGTTGGAAAAACAGGATAATTTTGAGTTTTTGTCAGCTAATTTCAGATTCAAATTAAGCATCTTTGTCAGGAGAGCAGTACGAGAATTGAAGAATGGCGGACGTTGTCTTTTATCAGGAGTTCGTTCACATTTAGATGCCTAAATCCACTAGATTACCAGCAGGGCTAATGGTTCAAATAGAGAGACCTGCTGCACTGAGTCTGCATTCAGACCTATTCAAACTTGGGGATTGAGGGAAAAGTCCCCATTTATAGTGTTTATATGAACATGATTTTCTTTATAATGATTTAAATTGTGGTTACGTGTATATGAAATTATGAATAACAAATGTAGCAGGGCTTTAAATCACTGTTTATTTCTTTGCATTTTAACTTGGTAAACTATAAAATCATGCATCTCCTCACGGTTTGGGTCTCATTTTGTAAGTTAACTGATAACAGTTGTTTGCTCCCCTCCTTCTCCCCTGCTGGTAATGCCCACTCTGCCCTTTACTCACGGAGCTCCATGCCCATTCTGATGCGTCTTTTGAAAAAATTCTAAGGTAGACCTGAACCAAAGGTGTGGGGGGGTTGTGGGGGAGGGGGTGTCATGGCCCTTTAATAAAGGGACTAAGCTGAAATAAAAATTAATGAATAAATCCATTTACAGTATGACAATATTTCTAAAAGCATTTACACAAATACGTAAAACAGCACTGTATCTTTGGAGGTAGGTTTTCTCAGAGTGTCTTGAAATATTGCTGTAGATTACAGTATAGCATGCAGCCATTTGCTTACAGTACATTCTGCAGATTTAATCTCATCCCAGTGATTTCAGATGTCATTCTGATGCCTGAACGCATTATGTTTCCTCTTGATGAACAAAACATCTTTAACATTTCTTCTACATCTGTCTAAGTCTCTACATGTGACAAACTGAATATTTATAGTTGCCAATCTGTGTTTGAATGGATGATAACATGAACGGCCAGACTATTTGTTGGTGATATACAGTCAGCCTCACCACAAATATATAAATCATTATTAAATAAAATATTTTATTGTACGCAAACTTCCAAGCAAACCTTTGAAGTTCCCAAATTAGGGCATATAGTATGTAGCCTTGATTTAAAAAGGGGTTGGAAAAGAAAAACACTTCATTCCAAAAATAAAAATGATCAAAAAGCTGATTTTATTTTTAAAATAAGACATTCCCACTAATTATTATTATGCAGAGATAAAAGTAAAGAGATCCCATGATACCACAAGCAGGAATCTAGCTAGTGATAGTACCAAGCTCTTATTTTTTTTTTCCTTCTATTCTGGAGTGTACCATGCGGAGCAATTAGTGTTATGATTTTACATCTCAACACTGAAAAAAGCTTTCAGAATCTCCTTCATTATCTTGATACAGACGTGTTATTTTAAACCACTGTTTAACCATTTTGAATTCATTATTAGTGTAATATAAACTGAATGAAAACATCACCCATAATGAGAGGAATCAAATCTTAGAGTTTGTTTGTTTTTATCATTTTTCATTACAGGTAAAAAAAAAAAAAAAAAGAAAAGTTACATATACTGTTAGTTTTATACAGTAAAATATTTCAGGCATTCAGGCACAGGAAAATGGTCAATTTTAATTTTCCCTCGGTTTTATTACACAATGTATCTATAAAAGACTTAAGCAAAACAGTTTTTTGAAAATTTAAACGAAATGATAATGGTCGAATCTGATTTAATTCATTATGCTAAGCTAAAAGTGACCCTGCCAGAACAAGAAATCGGCTTAAAATAAAAAAAAAAATGGTTCAAGTCAACTGTTTAAATCCTAGGAAAATTGTATATTTATACTTAAAAAAAAATTCTTAAAAAACGGTGGAGTGTTTTTTTAAACAATCCAAATTCACTTTGATAAAAATATTAATTTCTCATATAAGAAACCTGTAGGTCAACCGCTTCGAATGTTATCACTCAAATGAATGGACTTTATTAGTGGTTATCAGCTGATAAATATGAGCCAGTAGGGGCCTTCTGCGCCTACTAGTAGGCTCAGAAGCCTGTTATCATTCATTCACATGGTTAATCAACAATACTAATAGAGAAGACTCCAGATCCAGATCTGTTTTTACATTACTGTGATGGAGTAGGGGTAGACATTAATAAAATACAATTATAGGAATTTTATTAAATAATATAAAAATTCTCATTAACTTCCGGCCGCAGCCGTATGTGATCTATAGCTGATTAACCATGTGGATGGATGGTAACTACTAGTAGGCGCAGAAGGCCCCTACTGGCCCATATCTATTAGCTAATGACCACTGATAACACCCATTCAATCGAGTTCAATCGGCATTCAAATCAGCTGTGTAGGTTGTGAATGAAAGTTTGCGACTTCTTTGATGACAATATCAAACAACTGACTCAAACATAAAGACACAAACCTGATGCATTTCAAAAAATGCTGTGCTTACTTCAGGCAAACATATCAAATGGTCATGCAAATGTAATCTGTGTCACATAGTCACACTATTTATAAACATGCAAATTTGAGACACAATCTGGACAGCAATCTGCTCAGTGAGATCATAGCCTGTTCTCAAGCACTGAGCTCTCACATTCATAACCACTCAACACATATCATCAAAACATAAAAATAAAAAAAACACCTAAGAAATTTTAAGGCATTTTTTGTGATGGTGCAACCACATGTGACGAAATCAAAAATTGGACCTCTTTAATAGCTCATTTATTTCTCCAGGACAGCATTAAGATTATTGGATACTTTAAAATAAGGCTTCTCCTTCTTATATTTTAATACTTTTTTTATTTTATGATGCTATAAAACAGGGGTGTCCAAACTCGGTCCTGGAGGACCAGTGTCCTGCATATTTTATATACACACCTGAACCAACTAATCAAGCTCTTACTTCATATACTAGAAACTTCCTGGCAGGTGTGTTGAAGCAAGTTGGAGCTAAACTCAGCAGGACACCGGCCCTCCACAACCGAGTTTGGACACCCCTACTATAAAAGATCAAATAGGGCTGCACAGTGGTGCAATGGTTAGCACTGTCCCTCACAGCAAGAAGGTCACTGGTTTGAGCCCCGGCTGAGGCAGTTGGCATCTCAATGTGGAGTTTGTATGTTCTCCCCGTGTTTGCGTGGGTTTCCTCCAGGTGCTCCGGTTTCCCCCACAAGTCCAAAGACATGCGATGGGTGAATTAGGTGAGCTAAATTGTCTGTAGTGTATGTGTGTATGTTCTGCTCCTCCAGGTTGGGGGTTGAGCATTTGGATAACATCCCACCTCACAAAAATGTTATAAAACACCAACATGTGTGCAGCTAAAAATGCTTCTGCTACATTTGAACTACTTATTTACAATGAGCAGAATCAACACAATTCTTGAGTTTTTTTTTGTCTCAACTTAATTGTTCAATCCATTTAAAATCGTAAAAACAAGTAAGTTAAGTTAATTATTTGTGTTGGGACTACATGAAGCAATTGTGTGGAACCCAGCCTTTTATACAGTGTAAGTGGCCTGGGAAATCCCACCTTTCTCTCGCAGTGACAGGGACAATGATATTTAGAAAGAATTAAAAGCTGAAAGACATTGTCGGTCGGTCTAATTTTGAGTGTTCTGCCTTTTCACATATCTTTGGAGTGCTCAATTAAAAACAAAAAGGATGGAGCTGGGGGGATATAATAAATAGGACTGCTTGAGTTGCATTACATGAAACAAAATAAGAAGACCAAAGGGGCAGTTCAATCATTCATTCATTTTCTTATTGGTAGTCCCTTTATTAATCTGGGTTTGCCACAGCGGAATGAGCCAGCAACCTATACAGAATAGGTTTTATGCAGCGGATGCCCTTCCAGCCACAACCCATCACTGGAAAACACATTTAGCTTACCCAATTCACCTATAGCAAAGATGATCTTTGGATTTGTGGGGAAAACCGGAGCACCCGGAGGAAATCCATGTGAACACGCGGAGAACATGCAAACTCCACACAGAAATGCCCCAGCTGCCCCAGCCAAGGCTCGAACCAGCGATTTTCTTGCTGTAAAGTGACATCGATACTCACTGCGCCACCGCACCGCCCAGGGCAGTTCACGTTCATCCAAAAAATCTAAATTCATCCCTCACTTAACTTGTTCTTCGTGCACAACACAAAACACAAATATTTGAAAGATGCAACCAGCTAAATCATCATTCTTGGGTGAACACTTTTTTTCCACTAAAATACTTGTACGCATAATAACCTGCATCCGTTTCAGCCAACCATTAATTATCTAAAAATAAATTATTCTGCAATTAAGCATGTTAAGTGACACCTGTATTATGTAAAGTTCACACGAAAAAGCATTTACTAGTTTATTATCTAAACTATTTTACAAGTTTTATTTTAAAATAATATTTTAAGCCTTCACACCAAGGTTGATAACTATCAATAACTACTGTATAAAATACAGTAATAACTGCAGTAAGCAGCACCAATAAATAATATCAATTGAATCTTTTTTTAAAAGGGCTTATGATAAAATGAATGATTAAAAACAATGACATCTGAGTGAGTGAGTGTGTGCCAGAACTGCATATATAAACAGAATGCTAATGCAGATTGTTCTTTTAAAATTCTCTCCATTGTTCTTTAGCCTTTAAAGAACTTCGAAATTGTCTGAGGAACAGTACAAGTCGATCAGCTAAAGGTCTGCCTGTTCAGGTGTAATGAGGGTGACTCTTATTTTGGCCCTTTCCCAGCATTTGCTGCCCACTCGCCACCTCATTTACCTGTCAGTGTGGCAATGCCAAAAAGGGAAAAATGACATTTCAGCGTGTGCCAATGATGAACCACGCTTGTAGTGACTTACTTTATACAGATACCTTTTGGTCAGGCCTGACTGATCACAGTTGAAAAATAACATGCAGGAAGCCTCCGAGCTGGCAGTTTCCCTGTCACAGTTTGATCTGTCAATCTGTCAAATAAACAGGGGCTTCGGGAGAGAGCGGAGAAAAGCCCTGTTTGGAGCAACACTGACATCTGCAATGCTAAATTTGCACTGCTCTGGCATCTTTCCAAAATAAAAGATGATGAAAAAAGTCAAGACTCACTGGTATAGACTTTATCAAGCAATATGAGGTATTATCTTATAATGGAAAGGCTGTTCCTCTAACGTTAAATCATAATCATCGCTGAACAAGCACTGGCTCTTCTCTCTGCTCTTTTGCTAGAAAGACATCTCAGAGATCTTATTGCAGATACTTGAGACTCGTGTAAGTATTTCTGGTGGTGGATCCCAAGAATAGACTCTGAATCTAGTAACTACTGCTCTGTGAAATCTCCAAAATAGACTCTTCCACACGTAAACCAGTAAGACACTTGTTTGCGCAGAGAAAATCTAGTTTATCCTCCTAGAATAGCAGTCCCCACACACAACAAACACACACCTTATACCTTAAATATCACATTCTATGACAAATTAATGATTCATATATAATATTTAATATTCTGCTTTAATCCTGCACCCATAAACCTCCACTGTTTCTACAAACACCATGTATAAACACTGAAGCTAATTTGCACAGTTAGCATAATCTGCAAAGCTCTTTTTGAACGTGGCAGATTTCACACATACACTGTATGAACAAATTGGTGATGGCAGCTCAATAATTATATAAACAGCAGTAATAGCAGGCAGTCTGTTCTCACTGTAAAAAAAATGCATATACAGTAGTCTATTTTTCCAATGGGAACTAAACTGTGATTCTCTGCAGGCCTCACCTCCATGTGTGACTCATCTGCTATCAGATCCATGTCTATGTTTAACATCATCACATTGTGCTCAGCTTGAACCTGGGGAACTTCTGCTATATGATGATTATGAGGACTTCAGTACCATATAAAACATGCTTTGTCAATATATGATCCAGAAGGAGCTTTAAATACCATGAAAATATAGAACTTGTCACACTGAAATCAAATTATAAGGTTCATTCATTTGTGTACCTACCATTATTACGATCCTGATAATAAATGATAAATCTTTGTACAATGAGATATAATTTTCTGCTCACAATATTTATTCAAAAGTCACAGTTTTATTATTATTTCTTTGTAAGCTTTTTTGTCAGCAAAGATTTTTTTTGTTTCTTAATTGGTTGAAAAGCTCACCAAAGAATTCACAAATCATGTAAGGTTATGCGGTTTATTGGTCGGTAAACAACTGGATTTTGTGACAATGAATTTTGTTTATGTCTACCTTCATTCATTTATTCATTTTCTTTTGGCTTAGTCTCTATTTCAGAGATCGCCTCAGCGGAAAGAACCACCAACTATTCCGGCATATGTTTTACGCAGCTGATGCCCTTCCAGCCACAACCCAGTACTGGAAAAAAAACATACACACTCATTCACACACTACAGCCAATTTAGTTTATTCAATTCACTTGTACTGCATTTCTTTGGACTTTAAAAAGTAGAAACTTACAACTTCACATACTAAAATATATTTCCAAAATGTATTTTGAGGCCAAGAATGTGAATGGAAATTGAAAGTATCCATTATTAGCCATCTTCATATGTTCTGGTGTTGCCCTCAATTGACACATTTTTGGTCCAGTGTTTTTGATACACTTAATAAAGCTATTAACATAGACCCTAACCCATTTGACAGCCCTTTTTGGTATTTCAAAGAGAGATCACTTAACTGGTGAATCTTGTAAGGTTATAGCTTTTTCTACTCTTCTAACTAGACAAGCCATTCTTATGAAATGGAAACAGGTCATGCCTCCATCACATGACATGTGAATGTGAGAAGTCTTTAGCTGCATAAAACTTGAGAAACTAAGATGTTTACTTGCAGAATCTTTCAAATCCTTTTACAAGACCTGGAACCTGGAATATCAAAGGCTTACCCTGTTCAGTTGATATCAGCTGTAATACACAGTAAATAAATGGAAAGATAAAATATTGACTACTTAACACAAATTTTTTTTTTGCTCAATTATTATTATTTTTTATGATTAATTTTCTTTTTCTAAAACTAAAAAAGTCTGTAATTTTTTATGAACTAAATTATGTATGGTCTTGTTAAACACCAATAAAAAAGAAATAAAAACAAAGTATCTATTAATAAAAATGCAAATGATTCAGAATAATTACATTCTAATTTAGTTTAGCATACCAGAAACATGACATAATTTTGCACAAATTATGTACAATATAGCTTTGAGTTTTGTTGATTTTTTTATTTCCGAACCTACAGGTGTCAAAGAACCTTATTATAAAATTAAATGTCTATTAATTTGATCTCTCACACTGTAACCTGTCATATGCTTTATACTACTTTGGTTTATGCATAAACATACAAAAACATGCATTGTGTCTGACATAGCATCGCTGATTGATGCAATCTCAGCTTGCATCATAAAGGCTGCATCCAGATACTATTGGTACTGTTGAGAATTTTCTGTGGCTTATTTATTTTTTCACATATCAGAGCCAACAATATTTAAGAGCAGACAGATAAATTAATAAATCACATATTAATAAATTGTATATAAAAGTATATTAATAAAAAAAGTATAGTAATAAAAGTACATACCAATACTAAAATATAAAAGGTCATATCACCATTAAGGTTAATTAATTTAAAGCAAAGTTTTTTTTTTATTGCTAAAAGTCAAAAAACTCTTTACTGTTTAGAAACATTTCTCTTATGAGTGTGGTTTTAACTATTGTGGAGTCATATGTGCTACAGCAGCATTTTTTGACAGCGGTGTCAAAAGAGCTGAGTGTCTGCTCTGGCAAGACCTGTCTCATTACACTGAGTAGCTTTCCCAATGCAAGCCTCGACCACTCAGGATTTATACAGATTTTCATCAACACAAAGAGATGCACCTACAATTCCTGTCCTCAGGACTGATGATGTCAGATCTGACTTGTAAGGCAGCAAAATGTTTCGTAACTATTTTAGGGAAAGGAATGAAGCTGTACACAGTGAAATGTACTGTACAAATGAAGGATACTACTACATCTGTTTATGAGCACAGGTTATATTATTTGTAATTCATGGACTAACCATTTAAAATGTGAGATTCATTTATTATGAG